AGGAGTGATATGGTCATATTTGTGTTTAAAAACATCACTCTGATGGCAAAACTGAGTGGCTTGGAGGAGAGCAAAAGGGGGATTTGTCAAATCATTTTAAAAGGGAAGCAACCACAGGACTTCCCCAGCTGAGATTGCCCTTTTGGAAACCTGCAGTTGCAGTTCTATGGAGTAGAAGGAGTCCAGGTGATGAAATCAGCCAGCTCATCACTTATAGTGTGACTTCTGTTAACTAGGTAACTTCTTCATACCTCTGTTCCTCATCTATGTAATGGGTATAATGATGCCCAGATTCTCAGGGTTATTGGGAGAATCAAATAAACATACCTGAAGAGATCTGACCTTGTACAATCTAAGAACTTGAAGTGTTTCGTTTCCTATTTGAAAGCTTGCTTCTGGGGTTCCCTGGGGTTCCAGTGGTTAAGAATCCACCTTGCAATGTAAGGAATGCTGGTTTTATTCCTGGTCAGGGAAGATCCCATGCCAGGGTCCAGCCCCAGCAGGATCCAGGGGAACCCTCAGGATGAACAGCGTCGGCGAATGAGAGAGAGAGAGAAAGAAAAAAGGAGAGAAAGAAAGAGACCAGACCGGAGTGTGTGGCAGAGTCTGGCAGTTGCTTTATTTTTCACCATCGCCTTTATACCCTAAGTCGGTACATTTCTAAGGGGGAGATAAGCATACAGACTTAGTTTAACATTCCATTAGCTGTCCTTCACGAAACCAGGTGTGCTCTGTATATTTTTTGTTTATGAGAGTCTTTTCCCATAGATTTTTGTACATTATCTTCTGGCCTTGAGCTTAGCAGAAAACAGAAAAGTGGCGGTCTCATGGTACAGCAGGTTGCAACATAATAGAAATACAATCCTGTTAACATAAAAGTCAGTCTTTTTGCAGAAATTCTCAGCTAAATTTATCTAAAAAGTTTAGCACACAAAGACTCTGCGGCTCTGGTGAGGGAGACCCTGTTTAGCACTCCTGGTTGAAATTAACAATTATCTTATTGTTTTTACACTAGGGCTAAACTCTTATTTTTCTAGATCTCCAACTATATTAACAATAGTTTCCAGTGCACAACCTCAGCACATTAACATCAATCAAAAATTGATCTAATAACCACTTTTAAAACAATATTTTTTGTATTCTCTAATAGGGCTTCCTCAGCCCCCAAAGGGCTCTGTGCCTATTCTGGCCTTTTTTATGGTTAATTTCTATGTGTAATATCTTTTGGCTTTCAGGCCTGTTGACAATTTATGGCTTGCACCTGGTGCAACTTTAAGCAACTTCAGTAGCCGACCCTGTCTTTTTTGTGGTTAATCTATTTTCTTTCTATTAGGTGTCTCCATGGGAACTAGATAGGATTACATTTTTACAGAACAGAAATGCAAAGGATTGCAAAAACAGCAGATATGGCACAAAACAGGCTCTTAGTCTAAAAGCTAACTACCTGCAAGAAGTCACCAGCTAATCTCTATCTAAACTATTTTCTATTAGGCACATTTGTGGCTATAATATCTGTGGAGCTTTTCTCACCCCGCGGAGGGACCTATGCTTAATAGTTTCTTTTGTTAGTGTACTGTGCTTAGGATGTTTAGAACCATCATGAGCATTTTTTGCAATGAGAGCACACATTTATCAAACAAGCCAGAATGCCAGCAAAAGGGTTTGAATAGAAGCATTTCCTTCATCCCTGGCCCCTTCATAGGGTACCAGCATCCAGGAGATTTATTAATTAGGGTTTTAAGTTGGTCTTTATTCAATGAAAGAGGAGCAGGAGAGCTCTCCGCAGGCAACACAAGAATCCGCAGCAGGGTAAACAAGAACAACAGCAGAAAAGGGGGGAGGATACAGGGTGAGGTAGAGGCCGGGGCCAACCTGGAGGGTCCCTTATATCCTGGACGGCCTTGCCTGTCAGGTTTCTTCCTCATGACCTCATCATGGATGGGGTCCCTGACGGCCTTGCCTGTCCGGTATTTTCTTCGTGACCTCGTCATGGGCGGGATCCCTCATAGTGGCTCCCGGCAATCCCACAGTCTGCTGAGCAACTACCTACAATAGCCCTTTGTAACTCCTTAGAATTTCAGCATAGGAAGGGCTGATAAAGCAATAGGATAAGGTACCTTGGCAGGGTTTCTGACAACAAAGCAAACTCTGACTTAACTGAAGACCCATTCATGTTTACCAGTTTTTACATCTTTTACTTGCTAAGAACAAAAATAATAATAACAAAACAGAAGCAAAGTAATAATAACAGCAACAATAAAAATGACTGCATATTGGTGATTTCACTTGATGTTGACTTTGTGACCATGCACTCCCTTCATATACAGAGTTTATGTGTGTATCTCTGTAAGTGGAATTCCTCATTGCTTTATAATTGTCTGTTTACAACTTGGCCTCCCTACTAATCTCTATGTTGTTGCTGAGTTGCTAAGTCTTGTCCGACACTTTTGTGACCCCATAGACTATAGTCTGCCAGGCTTCTCTGTCCATAGAATTTTCAAGGCAAGAATACTGGAGTGGGTTTCCATTTCCTTCTCCAACGGATCTTCCTGATCCAAGAACTGAAGTTGCCTCTCCTACTTTGGCAGGTGGGTTCTTTACCACTGAGTCACCAGTGAAGCTCACTAATGTCTACAAGCCACTTAAAAATTATAAAATATAATTTAATATATGTATACCTAGTGAATTGATTACTACAGTCAAGCTAGTTAATATATCACCTCCTCACAGCTTTTTTTTTGTGTGATGAGAGCATCTGAAACACTCTTAGCACATTTCCAATATTCAATACAGTGTTAACAACTACAGTCATCGTGCTGTACATTAGATCTCTAGATTTATTCATCCTACATAACTGGAAATTTGTATCCTTTGACTAACATCTCCTCATCTCTCCTCTTCATCCCCACTACCTCAAGCCCTGGTAACCACCATCCTATACTCTGTTTCTATGAATTTGATCGTTCTACATTCCACATAAGTGAGATCATGGAGTATTTATCTTTCTGGGCCTGGCTTATTTCATTCAGCATAATGTCCTTCAGTTTCATCCATATCATAAATGACAGGATTTCCTTCTTTTTAAATGCTGTTGTAATATTCCATTATACATACACTGTTTTTACTGTTTTCTATAATGGTCATAGCAATTTACATTGCCACCAACAATGTGCAAGGGTTCCCTTTTCTCAACATCCTCACCAAAGCTTATTTTTTATTTCTTTGATAATAGCCATTCATTCAGGTGTGAGGTATCTCATTGTGGTTGTAATTTGCATTTTGCTGATGATTAGTGATCTTGAGCCTTTTTTCATATACCTATTGACCATTTGTACGTCTTATAAGAAATGTCTCTTCAGATCCTTTGTCAAATTTCAAGCCAGGTTTCTTGCTATCAAGTTGAGTTCTATATATATATATATATATATATATTAGATATTAACTCCTTATCAGATGTATTATTTGGAAACACTTCCTCCCATTCTGTTGGTTGTCTCTTCACTCTGTTGTTGCGTTTCCTGCACAGAAAACTCCTAGTTTGATGCATTCCCCTGTCAGCTACTTAAGGACTGAAGCTGCCTCTCCTACTTTGGCAGGTGGGTTCTTTACCGCTGACCCACCGGGGAAGCTCACTAATCTCTACATGAGTAGGATACTCAGTTGCATCCTACTCTTTGTGACCCTGTTGACTGTAGTCCGCCAGGCTCCTCTGTCCATGGAATTTTCCAGGCAAGAATACTGGAGTGGGTTGCCAGTTCCTACTCTAGAGCATCTTCCCCACCCAGGTATCAAACCCGCGTCTCTTGCACCTCCTGCATTAGCAGGCAGATTCTTTACCACTGCGCCTTCTGGGAAGCTCTCACTTGAGGGCAGGGACTGTATAATACTCATCTCTGTTTTTCCAATGTTCAAGCAATAGATTGGCACAAAGTCATACTAAGTAAATGGTTGATATATGTAAATAAGTAAATGAATGTGTGCTGTGACATTATTATCTCGTGAGAAGGTGTCTGTCAGAGGGAAAACACTTTGCATAAAGGAGACAGTTTGAAACTCAGTTCTGCCTCGGTTGCTTGGCCCTAGACAAGCCTTTTTAACCTCTCGCAAAATCCTTATATGTAAAACCCAGTGATAATATCTCACTAATAGGCTTGTTATAAGGAATAAATTGATGCTCTGAGCATAATGCACTGCACACAGTGGCCACTCACTAAAAAATAGCTATTATCAATTATTATGAGGCAACTGAATGTCAGGAAGGCTCACTTAGGGTCATTCAGCTTTTAAATAGAGGTTAGAAGTCAGATTTCCATGTCCTCTGCTAGACCCTGGAATGAATTAATCAGGCAGGACTTCAGTCCCTGCTGCGGCTTAGTTGCTCAGTCGTGTCCAACTCTCTGCAGCCCCAAGGACTGTAGCCTGGCAGGCTCCTCTGTCCATGGAATTTTCCAGGCAAGAATACTAGAGAGTGGGTTGCCATTCCCTTCTCCAGGGGATCCCCCCCACCCAGGTACAGAACAGCATCTCTTGCGCCTCCTGCAATGGCAGGCAGATTTTTTACCTCTAGTGTTACCTGTGAGAAACTCGCAATTAAACACGGGAAAGAGAAATTAACAAATAATTAATATACAGTGAGTGAAGTGAAAGTCGATCAGTTGTGTCCGACTTTTTTGAGACCTCATGGACTATACAGTCCATGGAATTCTCCAGGCCAGAATACTGGAGAGGGTAGCCGTTCCCTTCTCCAGGGGATCTTACCAAGACAGGGATCGAACCAAGGTCTCCCGCATTGCGGGCGTATTCTTTACCAACTGAGCTATCAGGGAAACCGATAATATATAGTATGGCAGGTCAAATAGCAGAGTTGTCTGCAAATTATTGGGGCAAAACAGAGATGGCAGTTATTTCTGCCTGGAGAAGTAGCACTGAAAGTGACATCTGAGCTGTAATGAGAACGGAGACCGAGGGGATTTTTAGACAGAGTCTCAGAAGCTGCCGGAACCAAGGTGCTGCTGGAGTTGAGTGAGTCTCGGTCGGATATTGTTGCCGGACTGGGTCGAGGCCGTTCCGTCAGTGTTTTCAGACACCCTGGGGTCGCGGCTTGTTGCGCCCATCTTCATCTGGCAAAAGTACCGGCCACGCTGCCGCCAAGGATGAACGGAGCACTAGGAAAGGTAACGCAGTCCATCCAAGCTGGGTGCGGGAGAGGTGGTGAGAAGAGCGGAGCTGGGAGGGGGCGGCGGCGCTATCACGCGGCTGCCGACATCCGGGTAAGAGACTTGGGCAAGAACAAGCTCTTCCCGGCAGCACGTGCGGCGCCCAGTCAAAGGGTTGCGCTTTCTCCTCTGTTCCAAGGAGGATTCGGCTGCGGTTACCCGAGCGCCACGCCCCCTCCGTGCTACCGTCGCCGCACATAGGCCTGGAAAGAGAGGAGACCTGCAACGGGAATCAGCCGTATAGATCCGGATAGTATCTATGACCTTCAGCAGGTCATTTTATTTTTGCTCTAAGTTACCAACTTCCAGATTTTTTTCTAAGAATACCGTTTTTGACTCGTTGAACAGATTGGGATGTGAGGCAGCTTGGCGATAGGGAAGCGTAATATTAAAAAGAACGTTTTGACTTAGAAAGCCTTAGTTACGTGACTGCAGTAAAACCGTATGAACCACCATAAAGCATTCCTTTGCTTTCCTTTGTCCTCTTAACAGATTAAAATTGTGCTTTTTCAGTTGTATCATACTGTTTAGAATAATGACTTTTTTTTTTTTAGCAATTTATGTTAAAATTTTATTTGAGGAATTAATTTGGAGACTATACCTCCATGATACATAAATCAGCATGATCATTGTCGGTCACGGATCTACCAGGCTTTACTCTGGGGCAGTCCCTGAATCTCTCTAGCTTTGTTTCCTTAAGATCCTAAACCTCACTTTATTCTTAACGAAATAACTCCCAGTTGTTCACTTTAGCCAGATTGTGAGAATTTGACTAGATCTGGTGAAAGGAATTACAGAAAAAAAAAACACAACTGGAAAGTTTCTAAATTTATTTGTTAAAGACGGTCAGATTGGTGACTCCAAGCTCTTACTCTAAAAGCTTTGAATCTGAGGAATGCTGCTGAAAGGGAGGGGTCATTGTTCAAGGAGTACTGTTTTTAGCCATTCTACCCCCATGGACAGAGGAGCCTGGTGGGCTGCAGTCCGTGGTGTAGCAAAGAATTGGACACGACTGAGCGACTAAGCATAGCACACAACACACATACTCCTGAAGAACCCATGGAAATCTTTCATAGGCTATCACCTTAAGGTATAAGGGCATATAGGGCCCCTCTGAGTCCGATGCCACTTTTCCCTTCCAGATTGCTTTGTTACTGATTTCCTTTTTCCTTTTTTTTTTTTCCTATTCTGACCTGTTACTTTTGACCAGGTAGTGTCCTCTTTATTTACCCATTACTAAATTCCTAGTGTTTGAGCTCCAGGAGCTTTCTCAGAATGCCCTTACTTTTTCACCACCTCCAAATGCTCCATTTTTCAAAGCCCAGCTCAGATCTCATCTTTTCCTTAAAACCTTTCAAACCATTCTAGCCAGAGTGCTTGTTTATTTTTTGAACTCTTAGCTGACGTTATCTCTTGGCACCTAATCATATGCAGTCTTGTATTTGCCTGTCTGAAGTGTTAGTTAATACTTTACATCTATGGGATTTACATCAGAGCTGTGTTCTACCTCTTGCTAGCTGTGTGGCCTTAGGCAGGTAATTTGGCCTCTGCTTCAGTTTCTTATATGTAAAATGCAAGTGATAATGCCCATCGTATGGAATTGTAAAAATTACAGAAAATAATGTCAGTAAGAGTATTTTGTGTGAAGAACTATACAAATAGGAATGTTAACATTCTACAGCTAATGAACTGCTTACATTTTCATAATTTCATTTAATCTTGCTATGAGATAATCTTGGCAGGCACAACAAATAAGGAGATGGAAACTACTGGTACAATACCTGATACATAATAGTTCTCAAACACTTTACCAAATGCCTGTATGAATGAATGCCTTGCTTACAGGTCAATAGTCTCTTCTGTGGTAGTACTGAGATTGGAGCCTAGATTTTCTGTTCTAAAATCCCACTGCCTTTCCTTTTCTGAGTATTTTACATCTCCCTAATTTGATAATAATCTTGTTTCCTTCATGTGTGAAATGAGGAATGAGAACCTTCCTTGATCTTCCCAGCAGTCAGTCCTTCATTTCTTTGTGACCTGTGCAGCCCATTATACTGATCTCTCATTGCAGTATAAGTAATTTGCACATCAGCTTTCCTCATTAGAAGGATTGTGGGTGGGCAATTGTATTTTCTTCGTGTCTGTATGTCCCCAGTCTACAGTATACTTGGCCTAAAGTTGCTGATATTATTCATCACTAAGTCAAGTTTGACTCTTTGCAGTCTCATGGACTGTAGCAGGCCAGCCTCTGTCCTCCCTTGTCTCCCAGAGTTTGCTCAGATTCATATCCACTGAGTCAGTGATCATATCTAGCCATCTTATCCTCTGCCATCCCTTTCTTCTTTTGCCTTCAATCTTTCCCATCATCAGGGTCTTTTCCACCGAGTTGGCTCTTTTCATATAAATGAAATCATATAGTATGTGAGGACAAATATTTTTTAAGAGACGTGCCAGAGATCATACAGCTAGTAACTCAGAGGAGCTGATATTCAAACCCAGGTCTGTATGAATCTCTAATTTGTGTTTCTAACTGCTATAAAGACTCAGTGCAAAGACAGGCTTTGATAGTCACCATATTATACATATTCAGAAGAATGACCAAAGGAAAAACTACAAACAAAAGCAACTTTGAAAGAACTTAGGAAAAGGTCAGCTCAAACATTTCTTACTAGCTATGTGCATCAGGCACGTTAATTCATCTTTCTGAGCTTTGGTTTCCTCACAGTAAAATGGGAGTATAAATACCTGCTTCAAAAAATAAATAAATAAATAAATAAATACCTGCTTCATAGAATGGTTGTGAGGATTAATGGAAATGATGTTTGGTATATAGCAAGTACTCAAAAAATGGTAGAACTGTTTAGGCTATTATTTTTATATGAATTTTGCTGCTCTTAATTGCTATTGTGTTTTTGAGAGATAGTATGGCAGAATGGGCTTCCCTGGTGGTATAGTGGTGAAGAATCTGCTTGCCAGTGCAGGAAACACAAGAGAGGTGAGTTCAGTTCCTGGGTCAGGAAGATCCCCTGTAGTAGGAGACGGCAACCTGCTCCAGTATTTTTGCCTGGAAAATCCCATAGACAGAGGAGCCTGGTGAGCTATAGTCCGTGGGGTTGCAAACAGTCAGACACCACTGAGCAACTGAGCACACATGTACACAAACACACACCAGAATGAAAAACATGGACTCTGGAGTTAGATTGGCTTGAATTCTTGGCATGTCTTACCAAACCTAAAACTTTGGCAACTTAAAAGCTTTTGTTTTTTTTCCTCCATCAGTCCAGTTCAGTGCAGTCGCTCAGTTGTGTCTGACTCTGCCACATGAACTGCAGCATGCCAGGCCTCCCTGTCCATCACCAACTCCTGGAATTTACTCAAACTCATGTCCGTCGAGTCAGTGATGCCATCCAACCAATTCATCCTCTTTCATCTCCTTCTCCTCCCACCTTCAATCTTTCTCAGCATCAGGGTCTTTTCAAATGAGTCAGCTCTTTGCATCAGGTGGCCAAAGTAGTGGAGTTTCAGCTTTAGCATTTGTCCTTTGAATGAATATACAGGACTGATTTCCTTTAGGATGGACTGGTTGGATCTCCTTGCAGTTCAAGGGACTCTCAAGAGTCTTTTCCAATACCACAGTTCAAAAGCATCAATTCTTTGGTGCTCAGCTTTCTTTATAGTCCAACTCTCACCTCCATACATGACTACTGGAAAAACCATAGCCTTGATTAGACGGACCTTTGTTGGCAAAGTAATGTCTCTGCTTGTTAGTATGCTATCTAGGTTGGTCATAACTTTCCTACCAAGGAGTAAGCATATTTTAATTTCATGGCTGCAGTCACCATCTACAGTGATTTTGGAGCCCCCAAAAATAAAGTCTGTCACTGTTTCCACTGTTTCCCCATGTATTTGCCATGAAGTGATGGGACTGGATGTCATGATCTTTGTTTTCTGAATGTTGAGCTTTAAGCCAACTTTTTCACTCTTCTCTTTCACTTTCAAGAGGCTCTTTAGTTCTTCACTTTCTGCCATAAGGGTGGTGTCATTTGCATGTCTGAAGTTATTGATAATTCTCCTGGCAATCTTGATTCCAGCTTGTGCTTCCTCTAGCCCAGTGTTTCTCATGATGTACCCTGCATACAATAAATAAGCAGGGTGACAGTATGCAGCCTTGACGTCCTCCTTTTCCTATTTGGAACCAGTCTGTTGTTCCATGTCCAGTTCTAACTGTTGCTTCCTGACCTGCATACAAGTTTTTCAGGAGACAGGTCAGGTGGTCTGGTATTCCCATCTCTTTCAGAATTTTCCACAGTTTTTTCATGTTTGTGATCCACACAGCCAAAGGCTTTGGCATAGTCGATAAAGCAGAAATAGATGTTTTTCTGGAATTCTCCTGCTTTTTCAATGATCCAGTGAATGTTGGCAATTTGATCTCTGGTTCCTCTGCCTTTTCTAAAACCAG